GTAGTAGTAGTAGTAGTAGTAGTAGTAGTAGTAGTAGTAGTAGTAGTAGTCGTGTAGTAGTAGTAGTCGTAGTCGTAGTCGTAGTCGTGGTGGTGGTGGTGGTAGTAGTAGTAGTAGTAAGGCCAGGAGCCCCTAGTAGCGTCCTTGCTCCTAGTAGCGATGCCAGGAGCCCCTAGTAGCTTCTTGTTCATAGTAGTAAGGCTAGGAGCCCCTAGTAGCGTCCTTGCTCCTAGTAGGGATCTTTGCTCCTGGTTGGACCAGAACCGATGCGAAACCGATGCCGAGCCATGCAGCATCCAAGACATGTTCTCCAAAATTCTGGTCGCACAGCTGTGTATTAATCGGTCTCACTCAGTCGATCCCCACGAAGCATCCCCACCTTAATACTTCTGGCTGTCAGTTGCCCAAGCTTCTCTGCCACAGCAGGCTTCAAAGACACCTGCAAACGAGCTGCGTCACCGGGAAATGCCCACACAGCAGGGGGTGAAACAGTAGCTCAAGCCTCTCTAACGAATACGCTTTGCTCCTGCTGGTGCACTTTTCGGATTCCCACCTTGATCTTTATGATCTTCTTGCGTCGCTTTTGAATCCTTTGAGGCTCCTCCTGAGTGTATCGAATATGTATATCTTTATATATATATATATATTTGATTTATATTGAATCAGAGAGGAAGGTCCCGAGTCCAAACGCTGCTGGATCTATTGCTTTTTTGATTGCCTGCCAGCTCATCCTTCACAAAGCTCATCTGCAAAAATAGTCCCAACTCTCTATGTATGAAAGCATACAAAAGCAAAAAGTTTCTTTCTGCTTCCTAGGACACCTAGTGGACCTCGTCTGCCAAAACCACTCGGACTGTTCGATCTCCTCCTCAAGGCTACTTGCAGCTCTGCTTCGTTTCGCAGGTCCTTCAACTCCAGAACAGGAATTAGAAGACATTTGTGACAATCCAGTGATGCTCCATGAGACCGTGATTGCCAAACTCACTATCACCAACAAATGAGTCACACAGACCATCATAAGGGCAAACGTGGGTGGACGAAAGGTGGCCACAAAATGGAAACCTGAGCTTTTGTGAGAGGTACTATTCAATTCAAAAACGACATCGGAACCACTTTAGCGATGGAGCAGAAAAATATGTTCCACGGTCTTGAGGAAAGGAGGCCTTCTGTAGTATACAAAGTAAAGCTGAAATATGTTCCTGAGCTCTCGTAAAAGTTTGGGATGAAGGCACAAGGCAAGGCTTGCAATGATTAGTCCAATAGTGAGTGTCTTCGATGTTAACCAAAGATAGAACAAAGGCAAGGACACAGCAAACGCAAGGATTGTCAACGTGCCTTTTACACTTAGCATCCATATTGGAGCAACCTGTCTGTTGTCTACCTATCTATCTATCTACCTATCTATAAATGCATGTACTTTGCGTTCTTGTCCGTGGTGGTGAGTGGTGGGCAATCCGCTCCATCGGCTCCAACGGCCCCATGGGGCCGATCGGCTCCACGTCCATTTTGTGGCTAGCTTTTATTGTTGTGTGCTCAAGTGTAGTCATGGCAGGACTGCAAAATAGACTCCAAGTGTCAAACCTACAGCAAAAAAAATACATGAATTAAATTCTGATCTACAGGTAATTAGGAAAGCTGCCCCTCTAGTCCAAGCTAAAGCAAGGAGAACTCAGGTAGCTGAGGCTAACCCCAGACCCTCAGACCAAAGCGCTTCGCTTCGCAGCTTCGCCTTCATGTCTCGCTGGACCTGCGGCGGGGTTCACCGGTGTCACCAAGAACTCGAACGAGGAATCTGAAAGGCTTAGCCGCGGATTGCAAATTTTGAAGCAAATCTGGTCAGAAACAGGACTCTTCTCATCAAGCTATTGTGCCTGCTGGTCGTGCAAGCGGAAACACAGGTTGCGAATCCACACTACCTGGTGCACACTGCGAAAAAGACACCTACGCAAAAAGACCACCTTAAGTTTCCCTAGCAACCAAGGCCCTTTGCAACTCACAGCAACGGCGTCTCAGGCCTGAACTCAAGAAAGCAGCGCGAGGATGGATGCCTGGATGGCGTTAAGAAGCGTCACAAAGAGGGACACTCTAGCAAAACAACTTTCCTTGCAATTGCTTGATTACCCATCCTCCGGTCTGTTAGTCAGCACAACCCACTGCCTGCCCTCAAATTCACCTCCTCTACATCACTTGCATCCGATTGAAAAAGGCACAAAGATCACAAAGCAAGATTCCCGCCACTTGCCTATCGGTGGTCTTTGTGGAGGACCTGGCTCTGCACTTGAACTCATATGGCTCATATGCACTGTCTTCCGTTTTCGGACCTAGCTCTCCACAAAAGCTAGACCTGTGAGGGACACTAGACACTAGTAGTTGTTGCTCCTGACATCAATCTGATCACATCTGAAAGTCTTCCACACAACAAGCTACACCATACACTCACAATACCGCATCCATGCGTATCCCAATACACATTCCGAAAGCAATTTCACTTCCTGTAGAAACTTGCAACTGACAGCACTGCTGCACTGGCATCTCAGGCCTGAACTCAAGAAAGCAGCGCGAGGATGGA